GCTCTGCTCTGCTGTTGCTGACAAGATCAGGCTGAGATTAACAAGTCCATGCTACTCTGCCAACCTCTCTCCTCCGGCGGCTGCACACACGCCGGGGGCTCGCAATAATACCAAACTTTCGGAAAGTTAAAAATGGAATGGATTGAAGGAATGTAAAGCAAAATGGCAGGGAAGCAGAAAACACTGCCTGGACAATTATTGCAGCAGCAAGCAGGGCACTGCTCTGTAGTCAAGGCTGTGTCAGCACTTTCTTTCTAAACCCCCCCATTTTCAGGGGGCTGTAATTCAGAAAGGAAAAAAAAAAATGCTTATGGCCAAAAATATTGCAGGTAAAGCCCCTTCCCTTTGCATTTTAAATCACCCATTTAGACAATTCAGAAAGTTACAGGAGTCTGCACTTCTTCAGGCAGTCCCACATGCCTTTTTTTATGCAAATGCAAGTCTTTTTTTTAAAGAGGGTTCACAAGAATTTGACCTACATTGTGAATGCCCCCTCTTTTTTTTTTTTTTTTTTTAAATAAAAGCAATATAAAACATACCTAAACATCGAAACCCAGTTTGCATAAATATGGGATAATTTCTAAGTAAGTTCTACACACACATTGTCTGAAAGGTGCCTTATTGGTACCAGAGATATGAAAATGCTCCCACAGATGATCCAGCACAGCCTCTACTGAGGTCTCAACCCCAATTCATTATGGTAACTTGGTAAGCCAAACTGCTGAGGGCATCTGCATTTTCCCTGGATAAGGAAAGGGTCCTTATAATTATGGTAAAATAAGGAAACAAAGCATTTGATCTGTATTTACTACTTTACAACTACACTCTAAACTATGGTACAGCGGGGCAGTAGGTGCTGCTATTGTTAATCGCAGGGTTTTGGTGGTGGGGGCTTTCTCTTGTTTGTTTGTTGGGTTTTTACTCTTGGCAATTTCTTCTCAGATATAGAAATAAAACTTCACCAGCCTTTATACACAAGCCAGGTACACTGAGACACTTTTCAATTATGTTTAAAGTTACAATAACAAAATGAAGAAAAAAACCTCCAAACCATGAACTATACAGTCAGATTAGTACTTTCTTTCAAAGTAAAAATACATCTTTATTGTAAAATCTGTGAAGCAGTCTAAGCCTGCTGGGCAAGAAAACCAAAGCATAAGTCTTGACTGATAGGGAATGGCCAAGAAACATGGAGAATTCATTATCATGGAGAATACCACCATACCCACCTGCTCGGAGGAGGAGAACTCCACTGAACAGTGGGACAACCTGTGCTCCTTCCCACCTGAACCAGCACAGGCCTTCATATTCGTGCCTTAGGCCAGTCTGGTCTGCAAATACAAGAAATGATGGTGACACACACCCACTTCTGCCTCCTGGCACTGGGGTTATAATGGCCCCAGAGAGGAAAGAGAAGCAAGTGTGGTAAAATCTCAATTCACAGCAGTTTTCTTCAGCGTATGAAAGCAGAGCACTGAGGTTTCTGCTCTGCTCCACCAAATAACACAGAATGTTTGTGTTCCTGAAAGATACATCATTTGCATGCAGTGTTTAATGTTTTTCTCTGATCATTAATCTGGAGCAAAGCTGAAGGCTATTGGAAAAAAAATGAGTGAAGTTCTCCTAAAGGTTTGGAGTATTCTCTGCACACTGCTTAAGTTAAACTAATTGCTAATTCACATTAACAAGACACTGAATGAGGACAAACATTAACACATTATGATTCAACTGGACAACCAAGAAATACAAAATGGAAGCTGATTTTTCATCTACCTTTTATGACACCAGTGGACAAGGAAAAACTAAAGAAGATACAGTACCAAACTTCTTAGTAGATCCAACTTCATACTTCCTACTGAAGAATAAAGTGGTAGGATTTATAAGAACTCTAAAAGCAAAGGCATATAGGCAATTAAACTAAATTTAATTAGATTAAGACTCAGCTTTGTAAGTTTGTATGGTAGGTTAAGCAGAGGACATATATTAGCCTAATATTCAGGAAAAAAAGTACAACCATAGTACATTAATGACCATACCCAAGAATAACAATAGCCATAAATATTTTGTTTAATTTAGCAGGAAACTACAGAATTTAACAACTTCATAAGATCATTAGCTTAGTTCTCATCCCCACATTTATCATGCCAACATTTACAATATAAATCAACAGCTGCAGACTACAGCTGAAAACATGCCAGAAATATGCATAGGTTGTATCAATATTTGCACATGGAGCCTTGAACGTAAATTAGTTGACACTCAACACTTCAAGCTTTCTCCCTGAAGTTGCAATATTTAAAGGTTAAAGATTAGACATGCTCCCTCTTGTGTTAAACTAAGAATACACGAATGCATGCTGTTTCCTCTGACATGATGGTTGCTTGGCCATCTGTTCCATCAAGCAACCCCTTTAGCTCTGGCTACTAACGTCTGAGAAAGCCTCACCAATAACCCTCCAGTTTAAAGATAGTCTGAGCACATAACCTGTATCCACAGAGTATCTGTGCTACATTAAACTAGCTACTGTATTATCAGAACTATCAGGACTATTAAGAGATTATATATAAACAAAACTTGTTGCAAATAAGTGTCTTGGAGAAATATGTACATGACTTGATCAACTTCATGGCAAGTCACACTTCTTCAATCCCTATAACCATCACAGAGTCAAGGTATGACAGGTTCAAGCTGTTCAGTACCATAATCACACAGAATACTCAAGAGCAAATTTCCTTCTAAATATTAGCTTACAGGATATTTAAGACAGACAGGAAGAACAGGAATATTTTACAATGCCACATAATTATGTTTGTAAATATAGCAACAATTGAGCAAAGTTTTCGATCCTCCACCCAAGCAGCCCAGGATGAACCATTCCCTGCACAGAGCCTTAATGGAGTCAAAATCCCCCTTATAAAAATCCTCTTGCAGGATCTGGTCCCAAGATCATGTCTAGACACGAACGCTAATCCCAGGTGCAACTAGCACAAAAGTTTTACTAACACACTTCTCAGACAAAGGCTTTGCAACTGGTATGGGCTTGGTAAATTATGTTTAGGCATACATTTGCTGGTTATGGTCAGCACGAGGCTGAATGCTAGGGCAGCTGTGAGTAAGTATCAGTAAAAAGAATTGGGAGGCAAAGAGAATCTAACACTCAACTACATGACTTCCCACATTCCCTTTTATTTACCCCCATTCCTGGACAGATATTTTCAGTGCAATGAGGTCTATGCACATCAGAAATAATGCCACCAAATATTCTCAGAAATATACTTGCTCTTTCAAACCATGGAAGTTAAATGTGTTCGCTCCTCCTGGAAGTATTGGTGTTTATTTTCCCTCAGTCTTCTGCAGCCCAGTAAAAATATAGCCACAAAGATTAGAGAGAAAAAAAAATCATCACGGTTATTGGTAGATACAGGTTTTAGGGTCTCTTTAAAGCTTCAAACTCAAGCAGCACACTGCTTGAAGCACATTTGCTGTCAGTGCATCAAGAAACTTAACTTTTGACATCGGCAGCAGCAGAATGAAGTTAGTATTTTACTGCACGCCCAGGTGCTGCGGGCACATTTCCCCTCTGCTGCACGCTCGCGGTGATGAAGGTTCTGTCCCAGTGCCCGTGTCACCACTGAGGAGCACCAGCGAGGAGCGAACACCGAGACACTGCCCTCTACGCCTTACCCAGAAAGCAGCTTTACATTAGGACTGACACTCCAAGAGCGTCTTTATTCCCTCGCACACACAAGTAGAAACTCTGCAGGATCGCGTCCCTGTTTGGTTTTTTGTTTTTCTTTTTAATGGAAACACTCACGTACGTCCGGCAGAGGACTTACTGCTCGCTTACAGCGGTGCTTGTCACCTTACAGGGGCCGGCCAGAGGTCAGCGGGTCACGCAGAGCCTCCGAGCGCAGCCATGGAGATCCACAGCCCGCCGGGAGCCCGCGCACACCCGGACCGGCCGGAGCCGCCCGAACCCCGCACCTGTGGCGCCCGAGCTCCGCTCCCCGGCGCGGCTGCGGGAGCGCGAAGGGACCACCGGAGACCCCGGCGGCCGAGCGGAGCCGCCCCCCTCCCCACCCCGTCCCCCGCGGGGCGGGCGGGACCGGCCCGGCTGCGGCGGGAGCTGCGCCCGCCCCACGCCTCCGCTCACCGGGGAAACTCGGCGCCGGCCCGGGGAGCCGAGGGCAGGGGGCTGCCGCCGTCTCCGCTATTTAAACCTCTTCCCGCCGTCTCCGCCTCACTGGCTCCCACTCGCTCCCTCCGCCCCGCGGAACTCACGGGGGCGGCCCCGCCCCTCCCGATGTACACACAGCCACACGCCGCCCGCCGCTCCGCCCGCCCGCCCAGACGCACCGGTCATTGGTTCAGCAGCCTGCCCGTCAACTCGAGAAGCGACAGCATTGGTTGGAAGCGCTGTCCATCACAGCGCGTCCCGCCCCGCGCCCCGCCCCTCCCCTTCCCGGACACCTCGGGGGTGTTAAAACGGCCGTTTGAAGTCACCAGCAAAATTTACTTTTAGGCCCCGCCCACTGAGTCCCAGAGCATGTTCTGATTGGGCCATGGGAAACGGCTCTCTGCCTCCACTGAGTGGCTGGGTGTCCATAACGCCCCAAATCCCGCCTATCCCGCTGCCGTAGTCCCCTTTGATTTGTCCGCGCCTCGGCGCGGCCCCGCCCATTCCCTCCCCGCTGCCCATTCAGGCGCGGCTCTCCGAGCCCTGGGGCGGTGCCGACACTCCCGGCGGGGGAACGTGAGGGAGCGAGCCGCTCATTGGCCGGCGCGCCGTCACTCTCCCTCCGTCTCCGCCCCCGCGGAGCGTACCAAGCCGCGGCGGTGGCGGGGGGGGGGGGCAGAGCGCGGCGTTGGTTCGGCCCGCGTCCATGAGGGCCGGGGCGGGGCGCGCGCCGTTTCCCGGTATGCCGCGCGCGCCGTAGGTAGCTCCCGCCGGGACGCGCTGGGAAGGAGGGCGGGAGGGAGAGCAGGGAGGGCGGGGGAGGCCGGTGCCCGATCCAAGATGGCGGTGCAGGAATCAGCCGCTCAGCTCTCAATGACTCTGAAGGTGCAGGAGTACCCCACTCTCAAGGTGGGTGCCGGGCCGCCCTCCGGCGCGGGGGGAGCGCGTTAACGCCCTCAGCGTCCCGCCCGAGCAGCGCTGAGGGGGAGCCCCTTCTACCCCCGGTTCTCCCCGCCTCGGGAGCCCCGGGGCTGCGGGATGGAGGTTGGGAGCGATTCCCATCGCGTAGTTCCCGCCTGTCCTCGTTTTTCCTCCGCTTGACGTCTCGGCTGGTGCCGCTCCGCTGCTGCTGTTCCCATCCCCCTCCGCGGAGGGAGAGGGACGTGCCTGGAATATGCGGCTCTTCCCTGGTGTCTCCGTGCCCTGAGGGGACGGGGGAGGCCCCCGGGCCACGCTGGGGACACAGAAGGAGCTGGAAAGGAGCTGGGAGAGAAGTGAGGTCCTTGTGCTCGCGGGGCGGTGTGAGGGGGGAGCGGGCTGGGACGGAGCCGGGCTGGGGGAGAGGGTTTGGGGCGTGTGAGTGGAATGCACTCCCTCAGGAACGCCGAGGACTGCCTGACGTGCTCATCCCAGGTGATTATCTGGATCTACGTGGCGTTGTTAGGAGACGTGTTAAAGGGGAGAGAGTGGAGGTGGCAGTGTAATATGGTTCCCTGGCTGCTTGGTCCCCCGAAGATGGAGATGAGCTTAAAATATAAAAAGGTTCAGACGTACTGGAGGGCTATGGAGCCGAATAAGCCAAAATACAGTTTGGTAAAAGCTGTTCCTTGACATACTGTGTCTGCCTGCAGGATGGAGGTCTTCCAGGGCTGCATAGGTGGTCTTGGGCTTTAACCAGGTGTTGTGAGGCAGGTGAAGGACTCGGCGATGACCTTAACGCTCAGTGCCTCCGAGAACTGTTGAACTGCAAGGATGATGCTCATAGGGATCAACGGGAACCTTTGTTTGAAGTCTCGAGTTGTGTGTACAGGAGGTTTACCACATAAATAGCAGCATCTGTGGAAAGGACATGGGAGAAGGATCTCTATTGCAGAATGCTTCTTTAGACATCTCTCGTGTCAGCGTATCCACATTTTGCCATCTGTAGAAGATGTTTGTGCAAAGTCAACTTTGTTGTGCTGTGATCATGCTGTCCTTCACACGCTGAGCATTGTGTGCTCTTTACAGTGTTGGTTCTGCAGGTTCTCTGGCCATGTTCTTCTTGTGCATGTCCTCCTCCACCAGCTCCGTTCTGCTCGGGTCTGAGAAGGAGAAGGACAAAGTGTTGATTCTCCTTTTACATGTGAAGGCTCCATTCTTTCGCCCAGAAGTACTTTGAACCTGACAGCATCAGGCTTAAATTTTAAAATAGCTGTAAAGAGCTCTCTGGCACTTCCCATAGCCAGAACAATGTGAAGGCATTTAATGCTAAGAACATCGTTTTAAGAGTGCATTTTAGGTGTATTAGAGTTGTTACCACAGATTTGATTGCTACATTCCTGAAAAATTACTGGCAGTGAGGATCAGTGAGTTTTTTGTTGTGGTGCTTATGACTTAAGATGAATTGTCAAGGTGCCAGCTATTTAAAAGGTAGAGAATATTTTGGACTAATTCTTTTATTTTCACAGGCATTCTTTTCCCCTAAAATACCTCAACAAAAATATACATAACAGAATGGAATGTTGTTTGTAAAGTTAGCAAGCTAAATAGTAAGAGGGTGAGACACCCTTGCACTGAAATTCTCAATTTCTAAGCAAAGGTGATGTTTATTGACTCTTCCCAGCAGCCGTTCAACTTCTGGGTTGTTCCTGTAATCTTTGGTAACATTTTTCATTGTTTAAAAAAACCTACCAGAACAGTGTCTGCTCAAATCTTTTGAATGTGTCCTCTGAAATGTTCTCAGCTGTGAGTCATATATCAAAACATTTTACTGGTGAAGGTGGAAAAGCAGCACAGAGAAATGAACAGTAAGGCTAAAGTCTACTAAAGTAAGTTGATGTGAAATCTCATTTTGATCTTTAGGAGTCAAGTGCCTACAAGTTTCTGTGAAACTGAGAATCTGAATTTTTATTTCCAGTTTATTCAAATGCTGTGTAAAATGAATGTGTATAACTGTTGGGTTTTGTTTTTTTTTTTATTCACCAGCACAGTAGCTCAGATGTAGCTCTTGGAGCTCTGGTGATTTTCCCTTATGTGAGTAAAATAGAAAAGATTGCAGACTTGTATTTATATCCTTCCTGTTTCTTCCCTCTAGCTTCCTCATGCCAGCATCACTAGATAATAGTTGTGTAATAGTTCTACATTTACAGTGTGTTCCACAGAGTGCTTTCCATGTGAAAGGGTGCTTCAAACTGCAGAGGGAAATCCCTGCTCCAGAGCTAAATTGTGGTTGCTACTGGAGTGGAAATACTTGAGCCCTTCTTCAGCAGTTTGGCTCAGGGGAAGTAAATACAGTTCTTCAGCTGAATCTAGAGAAGCTCTTTAAGTGTACAAAATAATTCTTGAATATTCCCCCCTACACCCTCCAGTCCCTTCTCAAGGACAAGAAGGTTGTCAGCTATTCTTCTTGCAAACTGCTGTGGATTTTTTTTTTCTTTAATCCTACTGATGGGGAGTTCTGCTAGTCTCAGATGAGAGCATGTAAGATGAAAGCTGGCAATTTGAAAATGAATGAATGCAAACATTGTTATCAGAGTTCTTTTCTGAAAATAATAAACAAGTGATGACAGGAAGCTGGATAATTCATCCATATTTTTAAAGTATGAATAATTATTAAAGTGATAGCAAGCTGTATATGTGAAGATCCCAAAAGTGGAAGATGCAAGACCCAAAAGCAGGAATGATCACTTTTGAAAATATTCTGGGCTGTTAGTTGGCAAGCAGTTTTGGCTTAGCTGATGTGCTAGTGCTTTAAAAAAAAGTTGCAACAGGAGAGTTGTAGAAGCACAGGATATGTCAGTGCCTTCTCTGAGCAAGTGTTTGGTTTCTTTTGTTGGCATCTCTGTCAGAGAAAATACAACAGATCTAATAAGATTGTAATTTCTCATGGAAATGCAATTTTTGGATTGTTCCAGGGAAACATGTAAGAGACCAGGTTTGTATGAAGTGCATGTTGTTTCTGTCTTGTGTCTGCAGAATAGCTGAGGTTAGAAAGGACCACTGCAGACAATTTAGTCCAGTAGCCTGCCCTCCAAGCAGGATCAGCTGGAGCAGGTTGCTCAGCACCATGGCCAGACTATTCTCAGTTATCTTCCAAGATGGACACTCCAGCTTCTCGTGGCAAAGCTATTCCCCTGTTTGTCTGCTGTGTGGTACTAAAAGAATGTAACTTTTTGTTGACAGGAAATTTTCTGTATTTCAGTTTGTGCCCGTTGCCTGTTGTACTTTTATGGGCCACTGCTGAGGGAAGTCTGGCTCCATCTTCTTTGTTGTCCCCTTTGGGTATTCACACACCTTGACAAGGCTTCCCCTGGGCCTCTTCTGGGTTGAACAATCCCAGCCCTCTCAGCCCTTCTTCCCATGTCAGATTCTCCAGTCTGGTAGGGATCTCTCTTTACTCATTCCAGTGCGCCCATGTTGGACAGGGGAGCCAAAGCTAGACACGGCGTTTTGGGTGGGTCTGAGTTCTAGTTAGAATAGAGGGGAGGGCTCACCTTCCTTGACCTCCTGGCAGTGTTTTTCCTAACACAGCCTGTTGGTAGCCTTTGCTGCAGGAGCACATTGCTGTCATGGGCAATTTGTCCAGCAGGACCCCAGGCTCTGTTCTGGCAAGCTGCTTCCCAGGCTGTTGTTTCCAACTTGTCCTGCTACAAAGGGTTGTTTTTTCTCAAGTGTAAGACTTTACGTATCCCATTGTTGAATGTATGAGGTTCTTGTTTGCCCATTTCTTCAGCCCAGTGAGATCTGTGGAATGGCACCACAAGCACCTGGCATGGTAACAGCTCCTCCTGGTTTCCTGTCCTCTGCAGACTGGGGAGGTGCACTCTGATCCATCATCCAGGTCACTAATGGAGATGTCAAACATCTGAACAAGCAACTTTTTACCCAGTGAAGCGGAAGAAGTGCACAATTAATTTTTTTTTGCATAACTGGTTGCAGTACTTTGTTTTTTCCCCATGTTTATAAGCTTTACTCTAAGTTTGTTTTGAACCTAATTTTAAGAGTCAAGAGCACTTTTGTCAAAACTTTGAACACGTAGCAGCAAAAGTTGTTCAGTGAAAGTGGTCCAAGCAGAACTTCAGACAGAAGTAACAGCTTGTAACTTTTAGTTCACTGTCTGTACATCAATGCAAGAAAACACAAATATGTATCATGATAGAACCATGAGTTGGAAGGGACATTAAAGATCATCTTGTTCCAGCCCTCCTGCCAGGATCAGGGACACCTTCCACTAGACCAAATTGTTCAAAGGCTTATCCAGCCTGGCCTTGAACACTTCCAGGGAGGAGGCATCCACAGTTTTCTGGGTAGCCTGTGCCAGTGTTTTACCATCCTCACAATGAAAAAATTTCTTCCTCATGTCTAATCTAAACCTGCCCTCTTTTAGTTGGAAGCCATTCCCCCTTGTTCTGTCACTACTGCTGTTGTAAAAAGCCCCATTCCAGCTCTCTTGTAGGCTCCTTTTTAGATTATCTAAGTGCTTTTCAGACAGAAGGTTGGCAAAATAATCTAACCCTGAACATTGGTGACAGCTCTGCACTAACTCATCACAAACACTTATCTCACACTAAATCCATCTTCAACCTGGGTGCTCTGACTCACCAAGTGTGTTCAATGTCCATGCCGAGCGTTCCTGTGCTGCTGAATAATGTACTTCCTGTTTTGACACATGGTGTGTGTGTCAGCAAACAAGTGTGAAATCTTTCCTACTGCTCTTGTTTTCCTGTACTGCATTCTGTTCTAAAAAACACTCTTTTAAGAAAAAGCTAGCACTGGGACTTTGTAAGAAGTTTGACGTTGTATAGTAGCTGAAGAAATTGGCTCTTGTTGGTCTCTTTTCCACCCCTACCCACTCATTATTAAACACATTTTAAAGTGATTATTGAAGGAAGAAAACACAGTAAAAGGCAGTAATAGTCTAGTGATGACCTAGAGCTGTTGGTTGGTTATTAGTACCCCATTGTGCCCATGGGAGAATACTTGAAGAAAGGTATTCTCAAACATCTTACAGAAAATTTCCTGTTAGTATCTTCAAAATGAACACTTACCTAATGTTGCAATTCCTAGTTGCACCATACCTGATCTGTAGTGTTTTCACAGAACAGTGGCCTGTGATGTTGTGAGTTTAGTTTGTGCATGTTTTCTGGTGTAGGAATATGGTAGCTAGCACATTGGGATCTTTAAATGTTGACATAAGACAAGATTTAAGTCTTAGCATAGCGAGTGTTTTTCAGGAGCTGGGAAATAAGTAAAGATGAGCTCCAAATATTTCCTAGATACTGTAATAGGAGGAAAATGCTTTACTTGGTGTGCTCTCTAAGCATCTTCCCATTGTCTTTCAAATCAGTAGTTCCTGGATAATCAGCATCAGAGAGTGCCTTTCAGGCTCACAGGTTTAGGGAAGTACTGTTCTGGCAGATGGGTATTTGCTGTAAGGGCACACTGACAGGATCCATCAGTCTATGTCAAGTCAAAAAGCTGCCTGAATTGTACGCTTGGCCTCACACAACTTAAAGCCTGAAGATATACTATGTGGGAAGTATTTGCTAACCCAGAATATGAAATATGCCAAAGTAATTGATTACTTAAAATATGTGATATTTGATTTAAATAAAGCAGTTTTCTAAGATACTTTTATTTTGATAGCCAGTAATTTAACTACTTCACAACTTCTTTTGATTTACCTCAGCATTTTTTTAAGAGTTCTGTGGATTAACTGGACTTGTAAACTAGTGAAAATTAAAATAAAACAGATTGAGTAGAACTTTGGTCATTCATATATTCTGATATGGGTCTGCTAATTTTCATCAATAATGCTTGTCTTACAAGAAATGCTGTCACTTTGGCTGGAATAGGTTGTTTTGGAAGCAGTTTGATTGGAAATGGGATCTCTAGCCAGTATCATGGTGTTGGGACTGTGCAAAAGCACAGGACAACGACCTCTTTCATTAAAAGAGGTAAAGAGGTGGTGCTGTGATTAAAATGAACAAATATTTGGAGAAGAAAGAAGGATCAAAACAAATGGAAAGACTTGCTCAGGACACAGACCTGCTGAATGACCTTAGCTTTGCAACTCAGCTTTGGCCAGAGAGCAATGCTTAGGTTCTTGTTAGTACTCCAGTATTACTACTAAAAGAAGAAAAGTAAAGGCATTTCTTTTGAGCTGTAAATCCGGGGTGGCAGCTATAAACAAGTGCCTTGAGAAGGACTGGCCTGTGATGTCCTCAGGGTATTTCTAGACAGGGCTCTAAAATGGCTGTCAACTTCCTTATATAGGGATGTAAGACAATTTTCTGTAACTGCAAAATCGCCTTGTAAAGCACTTAATTTTCTTGCAGTCAGCCTTGTTCAAAAGTTCCTAATGTATTCAGAAATAAGTTACTTGCAGTTTGTGTAACAGGATAATATTTTGAAGGAGTGTGATTGCTTCTGTTGACTAAGTATGTGTGTAGCAGATGGATAGCCCAAGAATTTTTGCTGCTCATTCTCTCCTGTATTGAAGTAGCAGCTTTGAATAATATAATGATGGTTTCCTTTGAAACACAGCTGCTCTGGAATACACAGTACTGTCTTCATGAGTTGTAAAACTGACTTGCTTGTAACTGAGGCAAGCTACTAGGCTTTACCGTTCCAAAACATTCAAACTGATTTTACAAATAACTGGTTTTTAATAATCCAAATTACCTCTGACTGTTTTTAGGCTTATGAAATTACTTTGTTTGGCTCTATATCTCTCTAAGATTTTATTTTAATGCTTTTACCTAATTAACCAACATCTAGACATTATTTTAAGCCATCCATTCCTCAAATATACTACTACTCTTTAAACTTTATTTTCCTTTTCTGATTTTGCCTAGAGCAAAGAAAAGGATTCCTATTTTAAGGAATTGATAAGAACTACTCATCAGACTAGTTCACTGAAGAGGTGCTCATATAATTTATGTTTTGAATAAGTCCAGTGACAAATAATGATGCTGACTCTGGTCTGAAGTAATCCAAGAATCATTGAGGAAAAAATTAACTATATAAAAATACAGAATTTCAGTAATTCTGCATGGCAGTTCTTAATTGTTACTTCTTTGAAGGAAAATTTTCAGTAGTTTATTGTACCCTGCCTCATTTTATTATGGCTTCATAGATGATAGATGTTCTCTACTTTTCTGTTTTGTTGAAGCAGTGAGCATGGTGTTCTAATTTAGTCTCAAGAAAACGGCTGAATGCTTGAAAGTGTTTTTTGTAGGGTTTAGTTTTTCTCTTTACACTGTTTGTTTATTAAAACTCTTCAGGAGAATGCTTAATTTTTCTTACATGTTCTTGTATTTCCTTGTCCTTCTTGGCTAAAGTGGTGCTAAGTTGTCTTTGCTTCTAGTTTTTTGAAAGGCGATTTCATCACTGAACCTCTCTTGTTTTCCCTAGCTGGCCAGGCTTAATTTCATGTAGGGGCATTTGGAAAAATCTTATTTTTATCTCAAAGTCTTCAACTGAATTGTCTTGGAGACCTGTAGATTCATACAAATCTCTGGTATTTTCAGGTGTTCTAAGCTAACACACTTGAGGAGAGGAGGCACACCATTTTTCTGACCCTTGAAAGGAAAGCATAGTTCTGTAATGGTTCCCCCCACCTAATCGGGTAGGACTCTTTTTATTTCATATTTCTTAAAACTTTTTTTTTCTTCCCCCTAGTTTTGTGACTTTATGTATTTGATAAATTTTTTTAATTTCTAATTCCCTCCTTCTCATGACAGAGTTAATTTGAAAAGATATACAATGTAGCCTTTTGTTTTTTTAAAAAAACACATTTTATGTGTGAAAGAATTAATTTTAGCCAAGATACTGTAACACTGAGGTACTTTACAGAATTGCAAACCTATGTAAAAGGTGCTTGTTTCTGTTGTCTATACTGTTTTCTATGAAAACGAGTTTTTAGAAACTTTGAAAATTCCTGTTAACAGGAGTCTGGAGAATAGTTAATAATCTTACTTATATAACCAAATACTTCTTCCTTCAATTTCTTCCTTCAACTGACTTTTTTGAAGTCTCACTTTTACTCTATAATTCCCAACAACCAAACAATAGCTATACAAACTGATTTTTACTTTTTTCTGCTGCAGCTGAACTAGTTTCATCCATGCAGTTACCGTAGACTAGAAACATTTTGAATAATCTTTTGATCTGTGTGTGATTGTGTTTTGGTTTCCGTTTTTATTTGGAGTTCCTTAGGGCTGAATTTGTATAAGTAAAGAAGGAATTTGGCCAGTGTTGTAGTGTGTGACCAGATCAGTGTGAGAACTGGTGTGCTGAAAGTCTAATGTAAGGCTAAAGATTTGGAGGAGAATAAAGGCTTACATTTTTTTCAAAACTTCAATCATGAAAGAAATGTGTAATTCAGTCTTTTGGTGTTGGTCTGTACCAGTTAGAAAAACTTGTGTGCAGCATCAATGTGGTATTTGGAATTTTGCAGTGGCCATTAGACTTTGGCCTAACATCCTCCACCTCCAAAGAAGTAGAAATGCAGCACGCAACACTTGTTATAAAAAGCTTTTTTGCTGTGGGAGAAATCCCTTTCTCCTGTGTTGAGTCCTCCTCTGACAATGCTGAAGTAGTCTGGGGATATTGTTGGATAGCTGTGGAAGAAAGACAATGTAGAAGACTGTTTCCATGCTCCTACTTTAAGTAAAATTTTAGTGAGATTTTTTAATATATGTAATTGATTTTTCCCTTCCAGCCAATGGCTTATTGATGCAGAAATAATATCCTGACTAATCCAATATGGAATAATGTACATCAGTTAATATGACTTTTAAAAAGAGCATTCCATGTAAAGGTATTGGAGTTGTTTTTAAAAAAACTGAAGTAGGCAGTGAGGTGGACTTGGTTGATAGTTTATTCATATTACTGGATGTTTTTTGGAGATAAGCCTTACCAGGCTTACCAGGAACTCTTGCAAGAAAGACTGAAGTCCTTATGCAGATAAGGAACTGGTCAAGATAAAAAACAAACATCAAGATTTAGTAGCCAGCTTCTCTAATGGAGAAAGATTGGTGTTAGGATTCTGCTGCCATCCTGGTGATATTCAGCTGTTTGAACAGCCTGGAAGAATGAGTAAGTGCTGAGATGAAGCAGTTTCCTTGATGCTAAGATAATTGAGGTATTACAGATGCAGCCCAATTGTGAACCATTAGAGAAAAATAGTGAGAGACTGAATGGGTGTTAAAATATATTAAATTCAGTATAGGTAAGTGCAATGTAATACAGTTTTTAGGTATGGTGGAAAGAAAATTAATCTTAGTCTTATATATATAATAACCGAGTTGGAAATGATCATCATTGGTCAGTGGGATTTCAAGGCTAATAGTGAATGTTTTGTGTGAGTGGCCAGGTTAATGTTAACAAACAGGACAGAAATGTTGGGAAAGGAAAGAATGGGGAACTCAATACATAGCAGTTAAAATCCATGGTTTATTCTTCTCTCAAGTAGTATGACTTACTCTTATTTCCTCCCTTCTTTCATCCTGAGAAAGGGTGTTGGAGAACTGGAAAATGTCTACAGAAGGGTGAGCATGATTAGAGATGGAATGTCTGTCTTCAAGGAATGGTTCAGAAAGAGTCTCTCCAATCTCAAGATATGTGAGAAGTATGTAGGAGAAAGAGAGGGTTCCCTTTTGTGCTTCCAAAACAAGAACAAAAGGGTTTCAAATTAGTTGAAAAGTCAAAACCAAAGAGTTTCTTCACATAGTTGTGAGCCTGTGAAATGTCTCACAACAGGATGTTGCAGTGCTAAAACTCAGGTCAACAACAGAGTTCATGGATGAGAAACACTCTGTGGTCTTTCTACTATTAAATTCCCATCTTTGGCTCAAGAAGCCCAATTAGATTGTTTGGGATTAGTAACTTTGTTCTTGCCTTTTTTCAAGTACCATCCTATTTCTGGATATTATCAAAGAAAAGATCGTGACAGAGAGGGGATTTTTTTTTGTCTTATCTAGAATGGTCATTCAGATATGGAAACGCGATGTCTAAGTTAGCAAAGATGAATTCGTTAAATTAAGGTAGGAAAGTACTTCTGCAGACAGTCTTAAATTCAGGCTTCTGCTTGAACCTTGGCTAACTTCAAAGCTAATCTGAGTTGCTCAGAGTCCTGCCAAGTTCTGAAAGTTTTTGAGGGTGGCAATTCCGTCAGCTTTCTGGGCTGCTGTTCCAGTGCTTACCAAGTCTTCTGAATGAAATATTTTTTTTTTATGTCCAGCTGGAATTTTCTTTAGTGACAGTTGTCAACTCTGCCTCTTTCCCTTTTGCTCTGTAACTCCGGAAGGTCTGGCTGGCTCTTATCTGTGACCTTCACCTTTTGGTGGTAGAGAGCTTCTATCAGATTGTGCCGCTTCCAGCTCCCCATAGCCTTCCCTTCTGCAGCGGAAACAAGAAACATGCCTGCCCCTCTCAGCTTCTCTTGGATTTTTTATTTTTTTAATCCTCCAGCCAGCTCACTGTCATGGTGGCAGCCTCCTGGATTCTCTCCAGGTACTCAGCATCTCTTTTTTGGCAGTGGGCGGGGGTGGGGGGGAAGAGTGACCTGAAAACCAGACTCAGTATTCCAGATGAGTCTGCGTGAGTGCTGAGCATAAACAATCACTCTTCAACCCACTGCCTTTAGCCTTGCAGCCTGGGATGGGGTTACCCTTCATTGCCATGAGAGCCTGTTGCTGATTCATATCCCACCTGCTGTCCATCAGGACCTCTATGTCTTTTCTTGCAGTGGTGGATATGTGCCAGGTATTGGGCCCTGGTGTTTGCCTTGATTATGTTTCATAAAGTTCTTGGTGTATTTCTCCAGTTTGTCATTTTTTCTGATTGGCAGCTCTGACACCCATTTATCAAGCACTCCACCAGTTTGTCCTCTGTGAGCTTTCTGTAGGGCAGATGGTTGAAGATGATCTGTGTTGGAGCTGATAACATTCCTGGGGAGACAAGCAGTACTTGCAATTGGTCACCAGGAAGCTTTGGAACCACTGACCATTCTTCTTAGAGCCTGACTAGTCAGTCCCTAACCCATCTTGTGTTCAGCCATTGAGTCCATGTCTCCCCTGTTTGGCCACAAGTGAGACAATGTCAAAAACCTCACTACTATTGGCAGGAAAGGCTGCCAGTGTGCTCCTGCCATTCAGAGAGTCAGTTCATCGCTGAAAGCAAGCAGTGTTGTCAAGCTTGATTTGCATATGACAAATCTGGGCTGGTTGTTCCTAGTCACCTTTATAAGATTGGAAATGGTTGAGGTTTTTTGATGTTTTTTTTTCCTGTAACTTTCACAAGAACTGAGATGAGGCAGACCAGCTTGTAGATTTTGTGATCTTACAGGTTCTCTTTTTGGAGTAGAAGCACAGAACTTGCTCTTTTCAGTCACAGACAGCTTTTCTTGTTCATTGTGACATTCCAGCAATTTTAGCAGGTTTGCAGTGTCATCCAGGAGCTCTCTCCTTTCCCCCCTTCTGCTCTTGTGCACCTGTGTATCTTCAGCTTGCTTTGGACTCCTTACATGAGTGAATGTTTCCCCAGACTCCCCAGACCTGGTTGCTCATCATGAAGGCTTAGGAGAAGGCCTTACCAGTAAAGACAGAGAAGGCATTCAGAAGTGAGACCTTGTTGTCCTTTGTAGCTGGGTCAGAAACTCAATTCTGTAGGTGCTTTTCATTTTCCTTAAGCTGCTGGTGTCTGTAAGGCACTGGTAGTTGCAATTACTGATTTGAAGTCTAGTGAATTAAGTGGATGTATATGTTGTCTGTGATGGTAATGAGAGCTGCATTTCTAGCTCTAACTCAGAAGAGTTTGTGGCTGGACAACTACAACACCTCTGCAAAGACCTCTCCACAGTTCACGTTTGTTTTGTTAAGTTGTACTCTATCCCAAGCAGAGAGCCCTTCAGCCCTTGTTTGTTTGCAAACCCCAGGTGCTCAGTGAGTGACTGTGTCTGTTGTAGAAGCTGCAAGTGTGCAAAGCTAAGACTTTGCCATATTCTCAAAATGCCATTAAGCTGCTTAATAGAATTCGAGGTGCTACAATGAGCATAAGTCCAGTCTGGGTGTCTGACTTCCAACAACATAAATGCTATTGAGATAGCAAGGCTTTTTAAGCTTTGATCACTATAATTAATAAACTTCTGTGAGGGGAAAATGGTCTGCATTCTCCTCTCCCTTTTGATATTGTTAAAGGCTATAGACAGCTGGCTCTTATCACAGGTTTTCTAAGGTGTTTTTATGTGAATCTGTAGAGATAAGCAAGACTGAGGTGGGAGTGTGTTCAGCAACTGTTTCTATGTATTTGATTTATGGAAAGAGTACAAAGTGTGCACACACAGATACGTTCAGAAAACCTTAAGACGAGAAGAAAAATTAATCTCAGTAAAATCTTGATAATGAGTGTAAAAGCAATATGTGTTGTAGGACACTGTGTAAAGGATTAGCTTCAATGATTTAGAATCATTGAAGGGTTCGCTTGAAGGGAACTCGGACATAATTTAATTCCAGCCTCTTTGCCATGTCCATTAGACCAGGTTGCTGAAGGCCCCATCCAGCCTGGCCTTGAACATTTCTAGGGATGGATCACCCATAGCTTTTCTGGATAAGCTGTGTCAGGCACTTACCACCCTCACAGTAGAGAATTTCTTCCCTATATATAATCTAACCCTGCCTCTGCCATTTTGAAGCCATTCCCCCTTGTCCTGTCACTCCATGTCCTGGTGAAAAGTTCCTCCAGTTCTCTTCTCCAGGCAAGACACCCCCAGCTGTCTCAGCCTGTCCCCACAGCAGAGGGGCTGCAACCCTCTGATCACCTTTGTGGCCTCCTCTGGACTCGCTCCAGCAGGCTCAGATCCCTCTTGTATTGGGGTGCAGCATTGCAGGTGGGGCTTCAGAAGAGCAGAGTAGAGGGGCAAGATTGCCTCCCTTGACCAGCTGCTCACACTTGTTTTGATGCACCCCTGTACGCAGTTGGCTTAATGTTATTTAAGATATTTATAAAGATATTTCTTTAAATATTTATGTGGAGAATGATAATTAACACTTGAGAAGTGTATACAGTTTGCAAAACATCAGGTTACAACATATGCAAGTATTAAATACTGGCTGGTTTTTTTCTATTTTTAATGTGTTTTGAAAAAACTCAAGAAAATGGAATCACTTAGTAAGTGAATGGCTTATTGAAAAATTTATTTTTTATGAAAATACATTTAAATTCACTCTGCTTAAGGGTATTCAAGTTACATTTTATATGGCTTATGAAAAGAAAGATTGCCTACAGTTGCCCAATTTGAATAGTATTAGCCACTTCATTATTTGAGAACTCTGCCTTGCTTTGGTACCTTATTTGCATTTATGGGGAGGAAGAGGACTGTGTTTGGGCTGAAGGCCAGGTAGTAAACTTCACAGTTGAGTTCCCAAGTGCACACTTAAAAAATCCCCCTGACATCCTTAGCTCTGCAGTTTTCTACTCCTTGCTCTCAACTGAGCGATCAGCGTGTAGCTCTCCTGGCAGTCCTTCCTCCTCTTCCACCAGTTCAAGCTTGTACACCCTGAACAGTCCTCTTCTAAGTCTTGTCTCCGAGCTAGAGGTTGTTGGAGCATGTTCTGGGACAGCACACCACTTTGTTGGCTTTCTGAAAGCAGAGTGAAGTAACTCCTGAAATGAAGAAAATATTTGGATCAGGTTAATCAGTTGTCTCTTGCTTTTTTGTTAGTGTTTAGCACCTGGAAACAGTCACGCTACAGTTGCAGAAGCCTGCAGCCAAGCAGACTTCACATCACAGCAAAATTTTGATCTTGGAAAAACTTGTGTTACTGGAATTTTACCTCTTGTGTAGGTTGTTCTAACTTCACTCAAATTCCTTTTCACTAGGTTTAAGTTTGACCTGGTTTAGTACATGCTTAGGTTGAATAATGTGTCCAGCTGTGGAAGCTGGTGAACAAAAGGAGCAGAATCTATTTAGGGCCACTGGATTTAAATGTGGTGCCCACTAATATTTTACAATTCTCCTTTGTATCCTCATGTATGTTCACAGTATGAGCCAACTGGGTGTGGTTTTTCAAGCTCTAACGAGTAGGACAAGTTGGTATTGTGCTTATACAGAACACATTCTGGTCAGTACTTGCTGCTTTATTTCAGATTTTCTAGTAACTGATTTATTCTTTTTTCCTTAAGGCAATACTTCCCTAGGCTGAGTTCTGTAGGTCACTCTTGTCTCTAATAATGACTCTGTAATCCAGGTTTGGTCACAGAATGGTACTGGCAGAAAAGGTTCCAAGTCTCTAATAGGTTTATGGCAATTAATGAGATATAAATCTTGCATCTGTCTCTTAGTCTGAGGACTTTGGTGTTCACAGTGTTCTAACAATAGTACCTGAAAATCAAAGTGAACTATAATTTAAAATTTTTATAATTGCATTGTCCAGAACACTTTCTTATATGTTCTTCTTCCATTAATTATTGCTGGAAAAAAACAATCCTCTTGGTAGAGTGCCTGTAACTTTTGAAGTCTTCTGCAGTAAAGCAAGCCAGTGCTGAGGAGCTGGGACTTTTGGCACTTTGGAGCTGTAGGAGTAATAAAAAAACCACCAGATCAAGATGCAAATTCAAGATAAAATCCTGCTTTGTAAGGAATGTAGCAGTTGCAGTTCTAAATTTTTGCATTCATAGGCTCTGTTCCTGTAAAATAAGTGTAAAAGCTGTACCTAGATGTGATTCACAATTATTCTCATGAAAACTGCTGGCTCTATAATAGGAAACAAGTGTCTGTGCAAATTACAAAAATCTCTGGTGAAGTGTATTTACTGTCAGCTCCAGTTATGGAAATAATTTTATTGTACCTTTAATTTCCCTTGTTATGACACCCTAAATTATGTTTCTCAGTAAGTTTACTTTTATTTACTTTCAGAGTATATAGTGGAAACATTTCAACCCCTAGTCTCTTCTACAGAAAACATTCTGATTGTTTTTATGGTAGGGGGAACAAAAGATAAAAGAAGATTCAAAAACCTATTGCACCTAGACATTCTAAGTGATATATAGTGATACTAGCTGAAATTGAAAGTTCAATTGTTCTAAATGTCATATGAACACGAACTGTGCCAGAAGACTGCATGCTGAAGAGACAGAGCACAGGAAATGGGTGCTGTTACTGCTCTTGAGTGCAGATAAGGAACTAGGGAAAAAGGGAGATTAAACACAGACTTTTATCTGAACTGACTAGATCTCTGTCCTGCTGACTGCTCAAAATTTAACAAAAGAACTTTCTATACTAAAAAAGGTACTACAAATTAATAGTAGCTTGTGCAAGTCTTTATTGATGCAGATTTTCAGTGTGGCATGGAAAGCTGATTAGCAAAATACTTGAAGAAATATATTTTGGTGAATGGTAAGAAAAATGCAGTGGAGCAAAAAGAAGGCAAGAAGTTGTTTTAATACTGTCTGGCATCAGGTCTTAGAGTTGGAAATAAGTTTCCATGTTCAAAAACATGAGATGTCAAAATAATGGCCTCCTAGAATATCCATTTTTATCTGTGGGTCTCTAAAATATTGCAATTTTTTGTGTAAATGTTAAAAAGAAATGAGGGTTGGAGATGGAAAATTGTTATATAGGCAACTAAGCAGGTGTTAAAGCTCATTATTTGTCATGGTTTATGTGATTTGAGTTTTGGGTGGGTGTAGTGCTGGAATTTTAGGACAAAATGTATAAGAAAAATAATTGTTTTGGCTTGGTGCCTTCTGTGGTAGAGTCTTGCCCTGTCATTTGTTTAGGTCTTAGTTTGTGATACCAAGAACCATTAAATAGATAATTTCAGTCTTGAGAAGAGGAGTCCTTTCATATCTTATCAGGATTATCCTTGTCTTTTATTACTACTACAAATAAGCACAACGTCTTGTAGGTAATGCAAAGTGTGGGAAAGCAAAAGCTTTGGCTCATCTTGCTTCCTCTGAACCAAACTGTTCTCTCATGGGGAATTCCAGTGGTGCTGTAGGAACCTCTTTGCTAATAGAACCCAGAAGGGCTGTGGCCCCTGGGGATACTTCCTTGCATGGAGATAATTAGGAGGAGGAAAACGGAGACCTTGATATAATTGATTAGCAGTTATATGCTTGAAAGATTTGTAATCAAACATATACGTGGTATGTACCAAACAGAGCACTGATTTGTGTTTCCTGTTTTACCTTTAACATGGATAATCTGATTGCTATCTAAATTATGCCTTTGATTAATGGAAAAGCAATCAAGATTATCATAACGACCTGAAAACTTCTCATGGACTTTTTAAAGATATGTCTGAATTAAGTGTATAGCACTGGAATGTTTTTTAAAATTTCTTGTTTCTGTGAGGTAGTAGAACTTCTTGTCTAAATTGTTTTTGCTACCACTGCAGTGGAAGCAGCTTAACACTTCCCAAATCATTCCCCAGGCAGTAGACTGCTCCCATCCATGTGTTCCTAATGGCCATCAGTAGCATGGCCATAATGGCCATTCGACTGTTCCACAAAGGTATGGACCAAGTAGGACAGGAGACCTCGAAGACTGGTATATCTCTTAACTCAGGAAAGGAGCATTAGAGGAAATTAACCAGTTTAGTCATACATTGTAGGCTTTTGTCACTAAAAGAAAATTTACATGGGGTTTCTCTTGGCATTCCTTAAAGTCCTTGGGGAAGTAACACTAGAAAGTAGTCTTTCATGGGAAGAGGTATGTAGGAGACTTGTTGGATATCCTGAATAACTGTTGATGTACTATGTACTATGTACAGTAGCCAATATGCATTATACATGCTTTCTCTCAAAGGTAGCTTTCTCTTTTTTTTTAATGTATTTGTGAAGGAAAGAAATGTAAAATTAGAAAGTCAGAGTCTGAAGGGTGATCTCTCTTACTTGTGGTTTAATTTTTAGCTTTCCTTTTGTAGGTACAAATTTGTCTTCATATTCTGTTGTCCCTGGATTGTTTCCATCAGTGCTTCTTACAGCCAAAGCAGGATAGGTGAACATGGTATCAGATAAGAAACTGCAGTATTTTTCCTCATGTTTTTTCATAATAGAAATGTGAGCTCCTTGCTGAGAGAACTTAAATAATGGTTTTAGCATGGGAACTCAAGTCCAATCAATGACCTCTAGTCCTCTAGTCCAAGGTGTTCTTTTGGCTGCATCAGATGAAATCGTCAGTCTTTCTAAGCTCTAGAGGACCTCACTTTTTAAATACAGAAATTCTAATGACTTGCTATTTCTGCTTCAGGTGCCATACGAAACACTGAACAAACGATTCCGGGCTGCACAGAAGAACATTGATCGAGAGACCAGCCACGTGACCATGGTGGTGGCAGAGCTGGAGAAGACGCTGAGCAGCTGCCCTGCTGTGGACTCAGTTGTCAGTCTCCTGGATGGAGTCGTTGAAAAACTCAGCGTTCTGAAACGCAAGGTGAGTGCTGTTCTACCTTCACTGGGGTGCTGTTTGCTTGGATTTTCTTTTCAAAATAACAGGCATTACTGGCTCTTTAAAAGCCTTGCTTCACTGTGCTTAAGAAACACAATTTGGTGGTTCTTATTTAAGTATAACAAACTTCTGCTGAGAGGTAAAATGAATACATAGTTGTAGTCCTGAAAAGGACTTTCTTTACTAACAGAAAAGAAATAGTAGTAAAATAAATTGATCTGTATCAATTCCTGCTTGTGTAATGGAAAGTTTTGTGCAATTGAATTAACTGATCACTGGAATAGCAAAACAGGTAGAAGATGAAGCTGAAAAATATGAAATCCCCAGTGCAGGAGCAGTATGCACTGTTGAGACTTCTCTGCAGAAGAAAGTGCAAGTTGTCCTGGATTGTTACTTGAAAATTTTTTATAAACACTCAACTTGGAATTTGAAAGATTCCTATGGAATATTAAGAGCCTTTTAAATAAAATTTGGCAGGATAACCTGCTTCTGGCTGTTAAGCCTTTGATGCCTTTGCCACATCTTTCTTAGAGAAAGATGTACATGTTCTCAGAAAAAGAAGTATAAGCCATCCTCATTTTGGATGGGAATATTACTCATCCCTAGAGTCATCAGAACACTTACTTGAAACAAGTCTTGCAGAAAAATGGAAATAGCTCTGTCGCCTGACTTGATAGCAGTGCTTCTCCAAAAATAAATAGAGAAACATAGAAGCAGAGTAATTTCATTGAAACTTAAATGAAATAGCCAACAGATATAAATCTTGAGACAGTACTGTGTGAAGCATCAAAATACCTTGGAGGTTTGCACCATGAAAATAACGCTGTCATGTGTGTTGATTTGGGGTTTTCTGCTTGAACAAGTTAGCTAGGTGTTGAAAAGCTGTTCTGCAAAAGACTTGATAAATTAATTGCTCTTTTCATCCTCAGATTGTGAGACTTAAAGGATATGTTTTCTTCACTTCTCTGTTACTTACAGAAAATAGGAGCTGTTTCTGACAGAGGTGTTGTATGTTGCTTGTAGGTGTGTAGTAATGATGTGGAGGAGTAAAAGTTATTTACTTGTTAAAGCTTTGCTGACTGTGGGGGTGTGTCTGAAGGCATTGCTGAGTGTTTTGGATGCAAAGCTCCATTTTAGTTTAATTGCTCATTTGTTTTTGACTGTATGAAGTACTCTGGGGAATCTTATAGCTACTCAGAAAGAACAAAAGGCCAAAAAAACTTATTAAACAGTAAAAGTCCTCTGAAATACAAAGGTCTTGTTTCTGCTCCAAACCCTCAACTCCCAGCTGTCTTCTCTATAATCTCTGCCCCGAGCAAAATGACTGTTTTCTTTAGAGCCTTTGGACCCATGTGGGATCTCTGTTGCCTCCTGTGTTTAGACAAAGATCTTATGAATTGCTGAGATGGCCATAATAGAATTAGATGGTTCCTTTATTTAACACCTTACTCACTCTTGAAAGAGAGCTTTAAAACACAGCAGGTTTCTTCAGTTCTGAAAATGGTCCTGGGGAAACCTAGACCTCTGTGTTTTCCCTTTTGTATCCTGTTTACTATGTTTGTTCCCTCAAGTTCTGTTAACGTCCAGCAGGGCAAGTCCAGATAGACTTGTTTCAGAGGGTTTTGAAAAGAATCTGTAGCCTTTCTGAACATACAAGAAGGATCAAAAAACCAGCAAGTGCTGTATAGATCCAGATATAAAGCCATATAAGAAGAACCTTTTGGAAGCAGAAAGGGTCTAACCTTTGTGCCTGACTGCCTTGAGTTCTTAGTTGTATTCAGAATATTTCTCAGGGTTGCCTTCACATCTGATAATACTGCAGATATCTAAAAAGTGAAAGTGTGTATTGTCTTTAGTTAGTGTTTGCCTGCTGAAAAGGAAGAGACCCAGTTTATAATTCAAACAAAATACTTGTTTCCAAACTATGTTACAAAATAAAGCTGAAGTCAGCAGCACAAGTAACTCGGACTTCAGTAGTAAAAATAACTTAGGCTACAGATGTTTACATGGATGTTATTAAGAGACTCTTGTGTTTTAGATACTTGAATTTGGTATCAAGGGTCAGATCAGAGTCAGGCTTAATTGGGGGGGGGGGCGCAGTGTAAGGTCAATGCAAGTAAGCTTTCCGTGCTTTCTCTCAAGTAAGCTTTCTCTCATTTCACTTTGCTTTTCAAATACTGATCCTTCCAGAAGAAGTCTGTCTATGGGCAGGCATGCTAAATGCAATTAGAACGAACCTGTGCTTCCAGAGCTGGAGCTGTACCATGTATGATACTACAGTTTGAGTTCTGGAAAGGTCACTGTGTCAGCATGGTGTGCAGAGTGGGCTGCCAAAAGTTCTGTGTGTGCCTTCCAGCCGCCAGACCTGTGCAGTCATTCAAACACAAGCCAGCAAGTTTAAAGTCACCACAGGGCAGCCTAACTCACAATTGCATCACTAGTGATACATTGCAGATGGGAAGGGTACTAACCATCCTCTCCTGGTTTGCCTTTACTTCAGCAGGCAGATAAAAGTTCTGCCAGCTTTCTGGAGTTCTGTAGCCTGACACGGCCCAGAGTTGTCACATACTGTGTACTGAGTCAGCCAGCTTGGAATGATGGCTCTAAGGTTGAAGGAAAGCAACTGAGCTGAGTGTTTTGGTTTTAATTTAAAAAAAAAATACTGCGGCAATACCTTGGGGATCTGGTGTGTGGTTTTTTTGCTGGGTATGCCAATATGTTGGTGTAAAATAATCAATCTAGTTCCTCTGGACAAATTGTGTTTTCCTAAATAAAGTTTCTTAACAAGGGAGGCACGTTTCCACAGTAGCAGAATTATATAAAATAGTACCAGTTTAACAAAACTGATGATTTTGAAAAACTGCTTTTAGATCTTTGAATTACAGGTGCCAAGAGGCCAACCAATTGTATAATTTCCATTATTGCATGACTGCTTAAAATGGCTCCAGTGTTTTAGAAGTAATGTGGGTTTACTCTGCATCACTCCTCAGTAGAACTAATACAGCAGGACAGCTGCTGGAGGAAGAAGCCATGCATAGGTTAGAGGTGGAAATTTTGCTTTTCAACCGTTTGGCCCAGATGACTGCAAATTTTACAAAGCTCTTTTCAGGCTATTACAGCAGTTGCTGCCATAGTTGATACATTTCTGCTTTTGGATAACTGCAAATTAAGCAGAAAAATATATATATTCATACTGTCAAATAGATCAAAACTTATTTCTGTGCAAGAATATTTCAGAACTGGACCAACAATGCAGAAGCTTACGCACTGCCATAGGAAATATTTCTAAACAAGAGGTACTACTGGGAGTAGCTGTGTAACATATAAAGAATGCTTACAAACAATTACTGTGTTTTCCTCTAAAAGGAGATTGAAAATGTGTAGCTCTTACTGTTGGTTTTTGCTTTTTAGGCCGTTGAGTCAATCCAGGCTGAGGATGAAAGTGCGAAGCTCTGCAAGCGCAGGATTGAACATCTGAAGGAGCACAGCAGTGACCAGCCAGCTGCTGCCAACATGTGGAAGAAGAAGCGCATGGATCGTATGATGGTGGAGCATCTCCTGCGCTGTGGCTACTACAACACAGCTGTGAAGCTAGCCAGACAAAGTGGGATTGAGGTGGGTGCCACTGTGGACTGACTTGCTAACAAAATGGTAGTAGAGAGGAAGTTGGAAAATGAGAGCTAGCTGCTTTAGCCTTGTAGCAGTTATTTTTATGTATTGGTGGGCCTTCTTTGCTAATGTTTATCTGTTAATCTTTTTAGGCTTGAGTTTGTTCTCCTTGGCATAAATTGGGTTTTAATGTATTAAATAAGTCAAATTTGAAGGGAAAATTTTTAGTCACAAATTAAATGTTTTTAGATAAACACCTTTCTCTATTAAAACTCAGACTAATTCTCAAATGTCATATAAAATTTCTTTTTAGTGGCCTTTAGGCTGCTGATTAAGTAGGTGGTGGAGCTTCCCATCTGTCTAGCCCCACTCAGCTTATATATGTAGGTGACTAAACTGAGCAGAACAGCATTTGCTGATTGCAGGATCAAGTGTTCTATTGTATCATCCTACTGTTTAATGCACTGAGAGAAAGGTTGGCTTTTACTTGGGAAAAGAAATTTTGATACAATTTGGGGTTTTTAGTAGTCATTCTATCTTGCATAATCCTAAGAACAGTTTGCTTGTTCACCATTTTGTGATTGTTGTTTTCCTTTTCACTGGTTAGCTAGCTGGTTTTGCTTGGGCTCACAGTGGGTTATGAACTGTTTGGAGTTTGTGTATTTTAGTGTAGCTACTTTATGCAGACCAGTGAATCCCGATTGTGGTCCTGTGACAGCCACAAGGACATTAAAACTGATTTTTTAAGCATATGCTCTTTGTCTAGAGAAATCATGTTTTGCAGATTTTAGGTAGCCTTTGCTATTTGGTCCTGAGTGATCCTTGAATCTTCTTTAGATACTTCTGATTCCAGAAGACATACAACTCTTCTAGTTAAAATCTTACTCTTATAAAGATGCTTTGAGTTCTCTTACATGACTTACATACTTTGCCTTTCTTAGGTGGAATAGTTGAACACATCTCATTTTGTTGGAGAAAAAGATATTTTTTTACTGATGTCAAATTAGAGCATATGTACTTGTTCTTTGTCACATAACAGGGACCTATTTGTCATGTGTCTCTTATTCCTTGGCTGCTTTACCGGTCTAATCCTGTTCAGCCAGCAGCAATTTCTGTAAATGCCAAATAGGAAATAGCATGTAGAGGCTGAATAGAAGTGAGAGGGGAGGTGGGTTAAAAAGTATTAATAGGAAATAGTCCTGAAAAAATCAGCTGAAGAGTCTGTTGTGCCTCACTGGAGATATAGTCCATGCATGTGAGTCAAAAATACCCAAGGCAATTAGCTGGGAGAACTGCAGCTTGACTGGTCAGCAGCTCTCCCACTTCTGGTAGATGTTTCCCTCTGTTTTGAGCAGGAGCTCGTCTCTGCTGAATCATCATGTTGCTGTACCTACTACGTCTGCTGAAAAGGCACTATGGAAATATTTTCACTTTCATAGCAAGCTCTATTATGCCTGATTAAGAAATGCTCAGCTTTGGTTTGGACATGAGCATGGAAGTCTGTCATGACATACTGCAAGACCCTGTGGTAAAAGCATCATGCTTAAAGCTTTTCATTCTGTTTGCTGACTAGAAAATTTTGTGTTAAAAAGCAAGTTTTAAATAAGATTATTTACCTTCTACCTGCAAGCCTAACTCTTTTAATTTGCATAACATCAGAGTGATTCCAATAACACAAAACATAGCTGCATGTTGAATGCACTGAGGCCATTTTTCTTTTAGTTTGCTCAAATTACGCATTTTAGTTGGCATTAGAGTTTGTTTTGGCTTAATGAAGATAAGGCTTCTCTCAGTTTCCCTGCTTTGCACCTGGCCTGACTGTATGGCAATCTTCTTTGTGAACAGCTTTTACAGTGTATGATACTGGGGCTTGTTTGTTATATAGCATTTATGGTTTTGCTGGTTTAGTAAGACAGCAGCAGCTTTGTTTCTTTTTGTTCCTTTCTTGCTAAAGGATATGAGTGTTGAAATGTTCTCTAATGCTTACTAATGTAACTTTGCTGTAGAGATTACAAAATACCATGTCATTCTTTCATCCCAAGTAATCTTTGTTTACTGTGGTCTCACCTGGCATTTTGATTAATGTCCCCACCACCACTCTTATCTTGATTTTGTTACCATTGGGTAGACATTATGCCCTAAGAAAGAAGCTGAAAACGGGTACTGACATTGTTCAGCTTGTCCAGCAGCCAGAGGTGAGGCTGGTGGACAGGTGGCCCACTGATGTACTCTTGTGGCAAGGACAATTCAACAGCACTCTGGGTTGCACTGATAAGCAGCAGCAGCAGAAGGGTGGCCATCCAGCCTCTCTACTCCTCTTAGACCCATCTGGAGTGCTGTACCCAGTTCTGGGCTCCCTAGCAGACACAAGAACTTGTCAAGTCTCTCCGTGCTTAGAGATGCTCAAAACCAGACTCGAATGGGAAGGATCCCAAGTAACCTGTTAGAGGTGATCCTGCTTTGAGCAGGGAGACAACACAAGTTCCAGAGGTCTGAACCTGAACCATTCTGTGATTCTGTTCCTCTGATTGTGGCTGAGGGCGCCCTTTGCTGCTCTTTGGAAAGGCTGAAGGAAGCAGTTCTTGGCAGTTCAGTTGTAGCTTGGGGATCCCAGGTTAAACACTTTCCAGTAGCTGTTAGACCAGTCTTGGGAGCAAGTCTCAGCCTGCCTGATTTAACTTTCTCGTGTGGCTCCTGAATGTGGAGACCTGCAGAGCTGCCAAGGTGCTGCATGGGTGAAGCAGATCAGGAAGGATTCTGCTTCAGTGACCACAGGGAAGCCATTAAATCATCCCTATGTTTGAGCAAACTGTCTGCTGTGTACTATTGGCAAAGATTGACTGTGTGCCATAGTGTCCAATTCTAGTAGTTTTTGATGGTCTGTGACAAATTTTAGGCTATTTTCTAAATTAATTACCTCCATAGGAATGATAGGCTATAAAATCTTGTAATAGAAGATACGTGCTTAAAAATCATGATTATAAACTAGGAAGCAGACAGAATGGAAAGCAATGCTGGATGTGAAAAATTATAGGGAGATTTTAAATATCACAGTTATGAACTTGCTGAAGTAAGGAATAACTTTGGCTATAAGGCATTTATACAGCATAAAGTTTTGGCAATATAAGAAATAAATTCTAAACATTAAATATTTGTTATATTTCTTTAAAGAGAAGTAATGCTGCTTGGGAAAGTAAACCAGAATGTGAGTAAGATTAAAATAAAAGCTGACAGTCAAAGACAGAAATGTTTGTACCAAAGTATATATGGGGTAGAGGGGATTGTATTATGGACCTTTTCTTTGATGTCTTCTGGCTCCATAATGATATGAAAAACAGTTTGGGTTGAAGATACAAATTAGATGTTAGGGTTGTTTGTTTTTTTTTTGTTGTTGCATATTAATAAAACTCATCCGTATAGGCTTATTAGAATAAATAAAATCAAAATAAGGTCATTATTGCAGTGTAATGCCACATCAATATAAAAATGCATTTTCATCTGCAGATTCGTATTTTCAGCTAGCTGGCAAGATTGTCTGTTAATTTTGTTATTTCATGTTCTGCTATACTGCTATCTCATTTCTGTGCCATTAATTGATATGCAAATCTAGTTTAGGAAGAGTGGTGTTCCAGTAGGAAGTTGGTTTCTGTTTGTAGATAAATTTTATAATTAGGCTACATATGTGGTAGTTAGTCTACTGTGTCTGGAGGTGGTGGGGTTTAAAATTGTCTTTGTTTTTCCAGCCCTTTCCTTAATAGGCTAGGAAGAAAAAATAAACATGCAAAGTGTCTTTACATTCTCTGCCTAATTATGTTTAGCTGTAGTGATTTTTGCCTATAGGATTGAAAACAAACCCAGATTCTGAAGCTTCCAGTCTCCCCTATGTGCTGTAAATCCTCTTTCCATCTTTGCTTAGCTTATTTTAGTAAAAGAATGCATCTCCTTGCCTTACTGCTCATGCTGTACAAAAGCTGTACAAGTGGCAATGTTTTTCTGTGAAGGATAGCATAAATTCAGCTTAATTCTTAGTGTGTTGGGGCAGGGAGCAAATAATTCAAAAATCTATAATTCACTGAGGAACAGAAGAGTTACTGCACCCCTTGGCAGGGTGAACAGTGTCACTGTAGTGTGGGCAGTAAATGCTTGAGTTGAAAAAACTCTTAAGTAGCTTAAAACTGGTTAATTTGACCTTAAATCAGGGATTGTATATATAAATTAAAGTTCTGCCAGTTAGTGTTCTTAGATCAGTAATTAAGTGCATGCATTATCCCTCAAGAAACTTAACTAGCCCTTTGCATTCATAGCACAGTGTACTTTTTGCTTTTGAGAGCTGGAGGGTGTGAGGAAATGAGTATTCCATTGACTTCAGAGGTTTTGTCTAGACATACGACCATTGTCAACACTGATTGGTATTAGAAGGGCTTCTTGACACTTCAAGTATTGACAATTGACACAGTCCCAAAAAAATAATAATTTTCTTGAAGTGGGAGTTCAGGTCTCCAGTTATTGTCAATGGTTTCGTTCCTGAGCGGAACTTCTACATCTGTGGTAATAGTTATTTACTGGAGAATATCAAAACAAGACAGATACTGAAAAATCATCCTAAAAGTATTTGTCTTTCAAAGTAGTAAATACATTTATTTTAAAAAATTAATTTTAAATAAGGAACAATAGTCCCTGGAAAAACTGAGTAGCTTCCATTCTTCTCTCCCTCCTGTTTGGTCCACTTAGTCTTTTTTACTGCATCATTGCAGCTTCAGTTTTTGTAGAAGTGTTTTTGGAGGGATTAGCCTAACTAGAAAAGATATGTGCAGCGAATTCAGGTGTGTTTCACTCTGAATTTTGTTAGACAAAGCTGTGAAATGTTATTTGATGTCCCCTGGTATAAGAGAAACTTGAATTCTTAAAGTCAAGCTTCATGACTTTTGACCAAGTATCTGATTTCTTCTTTTTCCTATTCTATACAAATGTTCCTTTTTTCAACCCCAAAGTTGAATGTTCTTTCC